GCCTCAAATCTTTAAGTTGCTGTGCTGGAAGCAAAGGCAAGGGACATTTCTGAAGACATCAAACCTCAGAGAACTGAAGTTATATTTCCTAAAGCTGTGTCTCAAAGCATTTCTCTTGAAATTGACAGATATTTGAACAACAAACATTCCAAAGTCTGGCAGAGTCACCATCTGCGACACAACACCCTATACAATACTGATGGTCAAATCTTTAAGTTGCTGTGCTGGAAGCAAAGGCAAGGGACATTTCTGAAGACATCAAACCTCAGAGAACTGAAGTTATATTTCCTAAAGCTGTGTCTCAAAGCATTTCTCTTGAAATTGACAGATATTTGAACAACAAACATTCCAAAGTCTGGCAGAGTCACCATCTGCGACACAACACCCTATACAATACTGATGGGATTTTGGGTAAGGCTATTGGGAGAAATTCATGATCTCAAGAAAAGAGCATCCATGAAGAGTAGATGGAAGTGTGCTATTCCTGGTGGTATCTTCATGTTAATGCATGCTGTCTGGACCACAGTTTATCCATTCCAGAAATATGAAAGTAATGGTGATGTAACCATAGTCACATTAAACTCTCAAGGGAAGGGGTGGTTTCTCCATCTCTCTTGATGTCTTCACATCAAGATGGGAAGAGATGCTATGATCAAATCCAAGTTATTTGGCTCAGTATGGCCTATACCTGGTGAAATTCTCTGGACTATGTTACACAGAAGGTCAGAATACATGATCTAATGGTCTCTGCTGGTCTTAGAGACTCTGGTAAAAACATGTGCGGTGGGGGGTTGATACTCCCTACACCAGGAGAAAGGGCTGAGGACGATTCAGTATCCTGAGACTGACAGTGCCCTGGCAAATTGGGAGACATCAGCACTATACGTCACCCAGATTGACACGGTGGCTGGGACAAGAGGGAGTCAAGTGCCCAGGGAAAGACTTAAGCCTACCAGACAGGCCCATGGAGAGAGCAACAGCCCAGAGCTGAGCAGGGGAGAACACAACAGCCTGAGCATCCAGAGCAGCAGTCCAGAGCCAGAGAAGCATCAATGCCATAATTTGGGGTTAATCTCCCTTTCTCACAGTAAGGCCATTTGTGCTGGTCTAGGAAGAAACAGGCCCTTTTCCACAGTTGGTCAAACAGGGAAAGGTGGCTTGGCAGGTGGCCAGAACAACTAGTTGAGAATGGACTCTGTCCCAAAAAGGGTGTGTCTAGACTACAGAGTTTTGTCAACAAAAGTGGGCTTTTGTCAACAAAACTATACCTGCATCTACACTACTGCCGCGTTCTGTTGGCAGTAAGTCGACAGAATGCGGCAGTTTTGTCGACAGCAGCAAACCTCCTTGCAGGAGGAATAACGGTAGTTTGAATTAGGAACTTTAATTCGAACTACCTAGTCCGTGCTGTGTGTAGCCATGGGCAGGTAGTTCGAACTACGGGGCATTTAAAAATGGTGGTGCCCAGGAACATGCAAATGAAGCCCGGGATATTTAAATCCCGGGCTTCATTTGCAAGTTTGAATGCCTACATTAGCCATCCTAGTTCAAACTAGGGTGGCAGTGTAGTCATACCCTTAGAGATGTATTATGAGACGAATCCAAATCTTCCTGGATCTATAAATAACAGAGTGTGGGGTCAAAATTAACCTTGACATTATATGAGCAAAATTCTTTGAGTCTTTTTGTTTCCAAGTAGAGAGGGATTTCTGTGCTTTATTTGCCAGTTGATAGCACTTAACCTTGATCGGCATGAAGAAGAACTTTATAGAAAATTGTATTTATATGGAGGATTACTGCTTTATTTCTCCTTTTGTTTTTTAATGTAGTAGCAATTCAATCAGTCCTTGCCAAGAAGAAAACAGAAAAGAAATAGAAAGGCAGATAATTAGTAACATATAAAAGAAATTATAATGAGTGTGCATAAGGTGAAAATGCAAATCTTCCACGTGTCTTTGTAGATGAAGGTGTTGGGAATCAGAGGCTAATCCATGGAGATTTCATTAATGAGCCAACAGGAGTATAACAATTCAGCAGATATTTAATAAATACCTAAAATATGTTTATACATCTGTTGCTTTCTCTTTTGTGATTTGTAATTAAAACAGCTATTGTATCTCTCTTGGGTAGAAAGGTTTTGAAGAGAACACATGCATTTGGAAAGATAGCAGAAACTGAATTGCTTGATTTAGAAGTTTTGCTCTCAGGATAGGTCCTATGCAGGGATGGTCTGCTCTGCTGTGTTTTGAGGGTTTCAAGAATTCAACAATTACTTTTTAATTATTATGTTAAGCAACCTGGTGTTACCAATTTGTAACTCATAAACATAGTTTTTTTTTCAGATCATGTACAAATAACCTTTCCTGAAGAAAAAAAATCCACTTTGATTTTAATAATCATGAAAAGATAGAATCTGTTAATGTAATAGTAATGTAAGTAAGTGAGGACTACATACAGGGGAGCGGAAATCCCAGAAGGTTCAATGTTTGGAATGTTCTTGGGATTTTTTGGGACAGAGCACTGGTTCTGATATTTATGGATTCTCAGAGGCCAGGGACATCCACAGAAGGGCAATGTTTGTAGCCTCTACAGGCTTTCCTACCAGGGGACTTCTTCAAGTGTGATTCTTTTTCTACCAGGAAAAGGTCTGAAGAGGATCCCATACTGTATTAATTTTCCTTTGTTTTGTTTTGTTTTGTTTTGCAGGACTTTTCAGGATGGAATGATGCCCAGCTCTTTGATCACAACAACAGCTACCTACCTCCTCCTTCCTCCCAACAGATGGTTGCCATAGGGCAGAAATGGAAGGTGCTGGGGAGTTGATTGACCCTTCTCCAAACAGTTAGTATTCAGGTTTAGTTTGTAACTAAGCAAGTGAAGTTCCGGGCCACATTTATGCAAACATTATAAACACCTGAAAACTGAATATTGAACAACTGATCTCAAATCCATTATGCCAGGAAACCTCAAGCTTGGCACACTACTTTTCTCTGCACAAGTGTAGTCTGGGACCTAACAATATTTTTTATGGAGAATATTCAGTATAGGTTTTCAAACATTCATAACCCCCTCTAGGAACAAAAAAAATCACTTCTTTACAATATGGTTCTCTAGCTCCAGGACACACAGATGTTGTGAATCTGCTGAAGGCATGGACTATTTTTTAAAAAGTCCTGAGCTTCCATATTTGCTACTTCTTCTCTCTCTATCTTGCTAATAGCCTGACTAGCACTAATACAGTTCATTGTTTCCTCCAGAAGCTTCCTATAACAAAAATTCTTGCATCATGAAAACACACTGTGCAGCTTTTCCTGTTGTGAATTCTCCCTTCACTCTCTTCCTTATATATGAATATCTCCAACACAGGGTATGTTTACAGTATGGGACAAGGTCGAATTAAGATATGCAACTTCAGCTTAACTCCACCTTTGGTGCTGTCTACACTGCAGAAAGTTGAAGCGAGAACACTCTCCCTTCAATTTCCCTTACTCCTCGTGGAAGCAGGACTACCGGCATCAACCAGAATGCCCCTCTCAGTTCGAATTAGCTGTCTTAACTAGACCTGCTAGTTTGAACCCTTGAAGTTTGACAGTGTTAGCTTCGATCATTCTCTGAACTATAGATATACCCATAGGCTGCATATAGACTGGCATGATTTTGCGGAAATACTTTTAACGGAAAATTTTTTCCGTTAAAAGTATTTCCACAAAAGAGCGTCTAGATTGGCATTGTAGGGATAACATATTAATGTATTGAAAATGATTCCTCCAAATGGAAGTGACTCCCCATAATTTGTTCCCCACAACTTAAAGTGTTTAGATTTATTAGGATTCTTCTTCTTCTTCTTCTTATTTGTTAAGATTGTTAAATGTTTAGATTTATGATTATTATTGCCCCTTTAGAATATAATATATTAGGTCATGTAACTTAGAACTGTTAAAAATATAATCCTAACTGTTAAGAATATAATCCTATGTAGCCAGAAACAGCCCCCCCCCTCCCCCGTGCAGGGCATGCTCAAGCTTGTGCAAGGGGCTGCTTGAAATTGACATTGCAGAGATACATTGTAAGGATGCATTGTCACGCT